CCTTGGTTTCAATAAAAGTGTCAATGAGCAAACACTTTATATCAAGCATTTAGATAAGGAAGTGATTGTCATCTCTCTATATGTTGATGATTTGTTAATAGCCGGCAGCAGCCAAGAGCTAATTGAGCAAGTGAATGATGAGATGATGTAAGCATTTGAGATGACTGATCTTGGAAAAATGCATTACTTCCTCAGCATGGAAATAAGTAGTCTCGAAAAGGGATTTTCATATGTCAAAAGAGATAAGTCAAGGAGATGCAAAAGAAATTTAGCATGGAAAATTGCAAACCAGTGAGCACTCCTTTGATGCAAAATCTGAAGTTGATTAAGGATGATGGAAGCAGAAAAACTGATGAAAAGATTTATAGAAGCTTGGTAGGAAGTCTCTTGTATTTAATCATTACAAGACCTGATATTACCTTTGCTACAAATCTGCTCTCCAGATACAGACAAGAACCAACTGAAATGCATTTCCAAGCTGTAAAGAGAGTTCTTAGATATATCAAAGGAAATGTTGATATGGGAATCGGGTTCAAAAAATTAGAAAAGCTGGACTTGATTGGATATACGGACAATGATTGGGCAGGCTCATTTGATGATATGAAGAGTACCTCAGGATTTTTTTTTTTACTTGGGTTCAAGTATTACTTTTTGGAACTCAATGAAGCAAAAAACAATTGCTCAATCAACTACAGAGGCAGAGTATATTGCAGCCTCTGAAGCGACATATCAAGCTATCTAGTTAAGGAAAGTTATGGAGGATATTAACTATAAACAAACTGAAGCAATTATAATTTATTGTGACAATCGGTCAGCTGTTGCTATGGTTAAGAATCCAGTGTTTCATGGTAGAACAAAACACATCAAGATTAAGTATCATGCAATTAGAGAAGCACAAGAACATCTTGAAGTAAAGCTGCTGCATTGTTGTTCTGCTGATCAGTATGCCGACATTTTGATTAAGGCATTACCAAAGGAAAGGTTTGAAACTCTAATAAAATATCTTTGTGTTTTCAACAAAAGTGTCAAGGAGGAGTGTTGAAGTAGTCGAGTAATGTGACACTTTTGTTGTCTTTAAACAATTGTATTTTGGTTGTCATTTGGTTACATATTTTGATTTGAGTTTAACTCTATGTAATGATGTAAAGTTAAGCTAGTTCAAGCTACTACAAGTTATGTATTGTCTAGTATGACATTGTAGTAGTAGGTACAAAAGTTGATGATTAGATGTGTCATTTTGTATTATACTTTGGCTATATATTGAGCCTTGTAAAAATTATTATATGTGATGAAAATTTCGAATTTCCTCTCCTCTTGTTAGTTCAATATCCAACATTATGCCACATACCTACTTTTAAATAAATATTTAGACTATACTTTTCAATTTTTTTTTTTTACTATAAATACATTTTTTTATAGTAAAATAGAAATGTTAAAAGTTAGCCAAATAATATATCTATCATTTATAATGCTAAATTTAATCCTACAAACGCGCCGTTAAATTATGACCCAACAAACACACCATTTACTTATGACCCAACAAACACGTCATTAACTTGACAAATTTAGCACCAAATCCCTAAAAATGAGACTACTGGTATTCCAAACCAAAACCCTCCTAAATCATCTCTCTCTAGAATCATCCACAAGAGAAACTCAAACCCTAAATATTAAATTGATGTTCTACATATCTCCTACAAAGATTAAACCTCTACGATGGCTGCTGATATGAATACATCCCCTATGGGGTTAGTATAGACAATGAGAAATGTCGAAGAGACTCCAGTCGTGACAGTCCCATTTCAAATGGTTTGGTTATTATTGGCAAGAACAAAGAGCAACATACAACTATTGCACATTACAACACAAAAGAGGCGTATGTATCAACATACGTAGGTAGCATTGTTTCATTAGGTGATCGCAAAAAGTGGATGCTTCAAAAGAATGGATGTTGTGATGAGATCCTACCACCTCCGTCGAAGAGGCCACCTGGGAGACCAAAGGATTCTAAGAGGTGTATGGGGCTCAAGTGTATAAATTCGACCATGTGTGGACGTTGTGGAGGGAAAGACCATAATAAGAAAACATGTAAGGTGCCTCTTTCATTATGTCAAGTGAGAAAATGTAATGACATGGATCCAAAAGAAATAGTTGATATAGATAAGTGGACTACGTTGGTAATTGGTATTACGCAAAATATGTAATGCTTTTACATATTAGCTTTTTTCAATGTTTTGGTTTATGGAGACTGCTTACTATATGGATCAATGCTTTTCCCCGATGATCATATGTAATGAAAAAATATGTAATACTTTTTTGGACTAGTCCTAATTTACGCAAACATTCCATTAGTACTTTTCGTCCATTTGAATAGTTATGCAGTCATTTATCCATCAATTTTCTCAACCTTATGCCTTTTGCTATTCTTGAAATTCGTCCTCAATTTGTGTTTAACATTCACTAGGTATGAATTATGAACCTTCTAATGAAGCATAGTTCATTTTAATCCATTTTGACGGTTTTTATGTCTATGGAAATTACAACTAAACGAGGTAAAAAAGATACAAAATACTGTTTTAATGTCTGGCATCCAATCTTAAGATGTTATAAGATGTCAGACATTTGTAAAATCTTGAAAACACATTCCAATGGTGACGAGTTCTCAAAAGAGTTACACAGTTTGATTATTCAACCGATAACATTGATTGTTTGCCCATCATCAGTTTCTTGAAATGCATATTTGATTTAAAAATGCATTAGTGGTGAAACTTGAAAATGGGGAGATCAAAAAACATAAGTTACAAAAATGAAGTGATTGGTGTATTTTTGGAAGTAGTTATATTTTAGAGTAATGCTACTTATAGTCGCTCATTGCAACAGTCATCTTAGTGGCACACACATTGTATGTAGTTATTTAATACATTAATGTGATAGTTTTTTACCATATTTAATGCATCAAATACACGCTTGACGTGTGTGTGACACATAGGGCGACTGCTATAGTGAGCGATTGCAAGTAGCATTATTCTATATTTTAGGAAGTAAGTATATATAAATCTAAGGGGAAATTGTAGCCAAGGAACCAAATCTTTCATTTATCAGTAGACTTGATCCAAACCTTTCATTTGTATCACCGTAGATATCAAATATTTAAAAAATTTGCAGCCCAAGTCTAAAATATCGATTTTCATTAATTTGACCCCAAAAATCGTGAGTTGACCTAGAAATTAAAAATTTAATAATTTCCCAAAATAAGGTAAGGACATTTTGGACATAATACATCTCCCCTATGAAATAAAAAAACAAAAACAAAACTACAACCCCCCCGGCCCCACCCCCACCCTCACCCTCACCCTCATCTTCTTCTTCTTCTCCAACCCCCTCAACCCAAAACCAAAGCAACTTCCACTATGCCGTTGATTGCCACCTCCAACACCACCACCTCAACATCGGCCCAAATGCGGCCTCAAAACCAAGCACTACTACCTCAAAACCAGCAGCTCCATTATCCACATGAAGAAAACTCCCAATTCTGGTCATTTTCAAAACCTTCAAGAAGTAGTTAAATGAGCCATTAGCAGATTTCAAAGTCAAGATTTTTAAAATCAGATTTTAAAAACATTAGCAGATTTAAAAACTTTCAAGAAGTAGCTTAACAAGCCATTAGTAGATTTCAAAACCTTCCGTTCATTTACATAATGGTGAAGAATCCACGAAAAATCCAAATATAAAAAATGAAAATGGAAAAGAAATGATTAATTTCAACATGATTTGGTCTATCTCCGTTGCCAACCGTAGAATTTAATTAAGACAATAAATATATAATCAACTCCCATTAACAGATTTTTCCACTTGCATATGATAAAAAGTAATCATATTTTTCCACTTGCAGATTTTTGCTACTGCACACTCTCCCAAAAATCCACATTGAAAGCTTTTGTAGGCCAAGACTAAAGTGGGCTTTTGTGTGTGAAGGAGCTGCTGGTTTTAAGGTAGTGGTGGTGATGAGTTTTGAGGCAGCATTAGGGTCGACGTTGAGGAGATGGTGGCTGACGATTGGGAGGCGGTTGTTTTGTTTTGGGGGTGAAGGAGTTGGGAAAGAAAGAGATGTGGGGGTTGTGGTTTTGTTTTTAAAATTTTTGATTTAATAGGGAAATGTATTATTTTCGAAATGCCCTTAACTTGTTTGAGGAAAAATATTAGATTTTTAATTTTTGGGTCAATCGACGATTTTTGGGGTCAAATTGATAAAAACCGTTATTTTGGACTTTGGGCTGTCGACTTTTTAAAGGGTTGGTACCTACGGTGATACAAATGAAAGGTTTGAGTCAAATATGCTAACAAATGAAATGTTTAGTACCTTGATTACAATTCTCGCTACGTCTAAATGATAAACCTGTATTTTTGGTTTTTTAAACATAGTAAATTATGAAATCTTTTCTTGTAATGATATAAATACGAAATTTTCCATTCTTTTTATTATTATTATTTTTTTGTGGGTTTTGGAAAGCTGAAATTTTTAAATCTTGGAGTTATGTAATGCATATTGTCCAAGCTCGAATTTTAACTGACAAGAAATTATAGTAAGTGAAATTCAGAATTAACTTGGCCTAGCTCTTTTGGGCCTGTTGCTTAAAGAAGTTACTTTTTGGAAAAATTACACAAATCCAAGTATTTCAAGAACACATTTCAAAAATCGAATTTGATAAAAAAAAAAATTCAAAAATTAGGTATCAATTTAAAATTTTTAATATCTTAAAATTAAATTAACTTCGTCCACCCAAACTCTAATTATTTTTCACTCTTCCTTCTCTCTCTTGTTCATTTCACTCTCTCAATAAATCTCCATATTCATGATCGATGAAGATGACAACAAGAAATTGATATCGTTAATAATGGAGTAGAAGCCTTTGCACCCGGTCCACCAAATAGTAGAGACCCCATCTCACAAGCTCCTCCTTGAACAATAGCTGAAAGAAGAAGAGCTAATCCTCAACAGAATGCCCGAAACGAGATTACGCAACTCTACTACATCTTCTTATTTTTTCCACTCCATTGCCCTAATCCTCCTCTTCAGCGCCACCTCTTGGGCCCCAAATAGAAAAGGCCATTTCTGTAAAAAAAAATCTTGGATCCCATCACTCTGTTCTCTAGTTTGTTCACTGGGTATAATCTGGGCTATTCGGTTCAAAATCGAAGTCGACTCCCACTTGGAGAAGCTACTGGAAATAGAGAAAGAGGATGGACAATTGTTGGCTAAGTGTATGGAAGAGTTGAAGAAAAAAGGTGTGGAATTCGATTTGCAAAACGAGGTTGATGCTTTTAGAAGAGCTAAGAGTTTGCGGGTCGAGTCGTAAGCAGTTCAAAGATGGTCAAGTACCGATTTTGTGGCCTTGTTTTTCTTCATTGTTTCTTGCTTGTTTCTTGGATCGACAAGGGTTATTTTGTGTAGTTAATTTGGGAATTGGAATTTGAGGTTTGGCAGTGTTTTGTGTTGTGGTGGTGGCGGTGTTTTGTGTGGTGGGTGGTGAATTTGGTAGTTGAGCTGGGTTTTTTGAATTTTGGCAGTAGAAGTGGTGGTTTTGTAGTTGAAAAATGGTGGTTTGTTGGTGGTAGTGGGGTGAATCAGTGGCGGCTTGTTTGAGATGGAGATCTCGGTCACTGGTTGTCGTGAGGTAGTGGGGTTTTTGGCGACGTTGGTGTTGGATAATGGTGGTGGTTTTGTATACACTGACGGTGCACTAGAGATTTGGGTGGTGTTTTTGTGTGGTGGTGGCGGCGGTATTTTCTGTGGTGGCTATTTTGTGGTGGTGGCTGTTGTGGTGTGCAGTGGGTAGTGTGTGGTGTTCTTTGGACGATGGTGGTTGCGGTGACTGGTGGTATGTGTTGTGGTGTGGCTGTGCGGTGTAGTGTAGTGTGGCGATGGTGGTGTTGCAAAAATGGCGACTACAGTATCGGTGGTACTGGTGGTGGTGATGGAAGTGGTGATTGTGATATTTTGTTGGCTATGGTATTGTTGTGGGGGGTTTGGTTGACCCGACGTTGGTGTTGGATAATGGTGGTGGTTCTGTGTGACTTATAGGCTATAATTTTTTTGATCTGTGATTAATGACATAAATTGTGACGTATAAATTTTTTGATTTTTCACCTCGAAATAATCTGTGACTAATTAATTTTATAATATGTGGTCAGTAAATAAATTGTGACTCGTAAGTATGCATCTGTGACCATGAATTGTATAATTTTGATTTGAATATATTTAATTAAAAATGTATTTAATTAATTAACTAAATACATGATATTTGCATTTTTGAAACTTAATACCAGATTTTTACAATTGTAAAAGTTAATGTCTGCTTTGTGAACTCTTCTCTTAATTTTTTCTACGGAGAAACCCACATATTGGAGTTAGATGTACTGCGAGCGAGATGGGACTGTTATCGGGCCACGACAAGAACACCTTACATTTTAAGGTGGAAAATCGTAAAGTCAAGAGTCTTTTGAGACATTGGTCGTGTGAGGTCTTCTCCATTAATATTATATATGATAATGCAGATAATGCTTGAATACCCAATTTTAAGAAGTTGGCTTGATAACTTATAAAAGAGAGTTTTCGAGGAGTAAGATTAAGCTGAAAGATGATAGACACCTGTAGTTAAGAAACTGCTTCTTTGCTGACACCAAATATTTGGGTTTAGCATGGTGAAATTCACCTTTCTGATAGCACTTAATGATGCAATGAAAGGCAAGTAATTCAGCTCTTACTTTTTTTCCCCCATTACTGTGAACAAGTTCAATGATTGATAAAGCTTCAGTAAAAAACTGGTTGGAATGTTTCTGTGGGAGGGGAGAATCTTACTTAAATAGAATACTAGTGATTCAAGATATTTAAGTGCTGAGAGAGTTTGGAGGTATAATTAGTACAAACACAAGTATTGGTTGTCATAATCTGTGAATTTTTTTTTTCATTATGTATTGGCATGTTTCGAGGGAACTAGGGAGAGTTGGGTAGCACTCAAGACTATTAAGAAGGAGAAAGATGTTAATATTTTGTTCATTATTTATGTTGTCCAGGACTAGTGTGTACTAAACATTCACTACAAGTTCTAGGCTTTGGTGTGAGCTCCTCTGGACATACCTAAAATATGGTTTGATGTTCTCTCTCTTAATGGCAAGCATGAAGAATTTAGCCGAACCGTTGGCCGTCTTGTAAGTGACACTTAATTCACTTTGAACGTACCTGGATTTGTTGTTTAAATATGTTTGTGTCCGTGGATACAAGTTTCTGGTACTTAAATTTTAACTTTTGGCCATTGTTATGGATCACACAATTATATTTTCCTCTGATAAGCACAAGGAAGTACACGGGACGTGGTAACATACTATGCATGCCCATCATTTTTATGTGTTGTTTAGCTATTATCTTTGGACTAATGATGCATACTCTCGTTCCCAATTCCTTTCGCACACATTGCATATGCCCTTCAACTACTACCCAATGATTTTATCAATCTATTATTTAGCAATTTATAATTTCTCCCAAACAAGCTATTACACTTGGATGTTTCTTTTTCCCCCACGTTGAAGAATTTTTCATGGCATGAATTTGGTATTGTATATCTACATTTGCACCCATTTACCACATAGTGAAGAGTGCAAAATCCTAATATTTTTGAGATTTAGACTGGTTAAATGTGGGAGCATTAAGATGTCGAACATTGGTTAAGGTACATATACACGTTTGCTGATTTGCAGAATCCTAATATTTTTAGGATTTAGACTGGTTAAATCGAAAGCTGTTGGTCCCAAAGTTCACAAAGAACACAAAATAACCAAGTTAATTGCGAAAAGTAAGGAATCAACACCAAGGATTTTTCACCCAAAAGGGTCCAGATGTTCAACCTTCAGCCTACTCACCCGTTAAGCATCTACACAGAGGGATTGAGCTCTAGTGCTACTAAAATCATCAAGATTACAATGTATGAGATTTCTTCAATATTTCTCTCGCCTCAAATATCACTCAGAAATTATACACAATCTCATAAAATATACATCAAGTGTACTCACTGCCTTATCACTCAGAAAAATACACAGAAAATCACTCAGATATTCAAATGACAAAGAGAAAGAGATGAACCCTAATCACACAAAGAGATCCATCTCAAAATGCACTAAACAGATTTCTTCAAATGAAGCTTTGAGAACTACTGTAAGGCAAGGAGATTAAAAGTCTTCATCAACGGTGGGAATCTGGCCAAGTGTAAGGCCAGATCACAGAGCCCAAAAGGAAATAAGTTTGGGCCAAAGAAACCGACACAGCACAGGCCCAATACAACCTACTGGGCTAAAGAATTATGAGGCAATCCAAAAATTCAACAATCCACTACCTTGTTGAATAATTCTTGGTGATTTAATCTACTAACACAATATGTTACATTTGCTCTTATTTAACCCGTAAAAACAAAAACAGAAAAGTTAGAATTTATTCTCATACACAGCTCTACTTGATTATTCTAAACCTTACTGTAAATCGGTAATGTTTAGAGTATTCAAGCAGTTTTTAAATTTATTTAAAGGTAAAACTTTGGTTCCAAAATCAAAGGAGTTGAATTCAATTGAAATTTTCACAAAACTGATCAAACGTTTTTCAGCCATATTCTTCACAAAGTGGAAATTAATGTCAACATGTTTAGTTTGATTAAGATATATAGGATTTTTGTTAAGATGTATAGCACTCTGATTATCAGTATAAATCTTGACAGAGTCATTCATAAAATCAATTTCATTAAGTAACCCTCTTAACCAAAGACTTTCCCTAACATCATCACATGCAGCTATATACTTTACCTCTGTAGAAGATAGGGCAACAAGTCTCTGCAATTGAGATTTTCAGCTAATACAGCCATCTCACAAATGAAAACATAAGAAGAAGTAGATCTTATTTTATCTAGATCTCCTTTTATCTAGATCTCCAGCAAAATCAGATCAATATAGCCTTTTAAAACAATGCCATCATTACATTTTTTAAACAACAGACCCAAATCAGTTGAATCTTTCAAGTATTTTAACATCCATTTTATAGAAAGCCAATGTGTTTCACCGGGATTAGCCATAAATTTACTTAAGATACTTATACCATGAGCCGGTCAGGTCTGGTGCAAACCATAAGATACATAATGAACCCAACAGTGTTAGCATAAGAAATGTTTTTCATTCTTTTAAACTCTTCATCAGTTTTAGGTGACTGTTTACTAGAAAGTTTAAAATGATTTGCAATAGGCAAAGATGCAGGTTTACAATCAATCATAGAAAATTTCTCAAGTATTTTCTTAATGTAAGTGCTTTGTATAAGCCATAAAATGCAGCCAGTTATATTCCTTTCTATTTCCATGCCTATTTTTTTTAGCTTGCCTTAAATCTTTCATTTCAAAGTCAGATTTTAACTTTGATTTAATAAAGTCTATTTCAGATCTGGTTTGACAAGCAAGTAATATATCATCAACAAATAAAAGCAGGTAAATAGATTCAGGTCCTCCTGACCCTTTGAAGAAGATACAAGAGTTATAACTACTTTTAACAAAACCCAAAGTCTCAATGTAGGAATTGAACTTTTTATACCATTGTCTGGGTGCCTGGGTTCTTACTTTAAGCCATAAAGGAATTTTTTTTCAACAGGCAGACCTTGAGAACATTGGATTTGACTTCATAGCCAACATGTTGTCTCATATAAATGATTTCCTCAAGATCCCCATTCCGAAAGGCAGTTTTCACATCAAGCTGATCAAGTTCCCAATTAAAATGAGCAGTCAAAGCAAACAGAATTCTAATGGAGGTGTATTTTGTAACAGGAGAAAATATCTCATTATAGTCCACTCATTCATTTTGAGTGAAGCCTTTAGCAACAAGTGTCGCTTTATATCTTTTACCTCCTACATTAGAATCCCCTTCTTTAGTTAACTATTTTTTGATTCTCAGGTTTATTAACCAAAGTTCAAGTCCTATTTTTAACCATGGATTCAATTTCTTCATTCATAGCTTCTTTCCACAACTTAGAATCAGAAAAATTGACAGCTTCTTCAAAAGTGGAAGGTTCAGCATTCAAAGAATCAAGAGCAGTGACAAGAGTAACAAAATGGTAGAAGGAATTATGTTCCTTCTATCCCTGTCTCTAGTAAGTTGGTAGTCAGCCAAAAGATGATTAGTAAATTCAGCTTCATTTTCAGATTCACTCAGATCCTGATTAGCTTGAGATTGAGTGGACTCCACCTCAATCAAATCATTTGTTATCATCCGGTTTAGTTTCAAGAATAGCTTCAATTGTAGGAGTAGTATTATCAGACACTGGTTTAGATTTGGTCTTATAGGGGAAGTCGTTTTCATTAAAGATAACCTTTCTGCTAATAATAACTTGTAAACCATTTTTACATTTAACCCAAAGTCTATACCCTTTGGTCTCTTCCCCATATCCCAAGAAGACATACATCAAGGACCTTGATTCAAGTTTTTCTTCATTTTGATGGGAATAGGCATCACAGCCAAAAACCTTAAGTGTAGTATAATCAGGCCACATTTTCTTAGGAATTTGAAAATCAATGACACTTGAAGGACTTCTATTAATGATATATGTGGCAATTTTTAAAACTTCCCCCCAAAAGAATTTTGGAAGACCAGAACTGTGAATCATACATCTGACCTTCTCTAATAAGGTCATGTTCATCCTCTTAGCAACACCATTTTGTTGAGCTGTGTATATCACAATCCTATGCCTTAGAATTCCATTTTCCTTACAAAAAGAGTCAAATTCCAGATTGCAGAATTTAAGGTCATTATCAGTCCA